GTGCTCTCAAGAAGGGAGTTTCCCATCTTAAAAGTGTGCTGCTGGTTGCTACTGCCCAAGTGCAGCACCCTGCACTTGTCAGTATTGAAGCTCATCCTGTTTTTGCTAGCCCACCCCTGTAGCCTATCCAGGTCTTGCTGCAGTCTTTCCCTCCCTACTAGCGTGCTCACCTCACCCCAAATTTTGGTATCATCAGTGAATTTAAACAGGTTGCTGTTCACCCCGTTGTCCAAATCGCTGATAAAGAAATTGAACAGCGCAGGCCCAAGGACTGAGCCCTGGGGGACTCCACTGCCCACTTCTCCCCAGGTTGAATATGACCCATCCACCACCACCCTGTGAGTGCAACCCATCAGCCAATCTGCAATCCATCAGACTGTGTAGGCATCAATGCCACAGTCGCCCAATTTTTTAATGAGGATGGGGTGGGAGATGGTGTCAAAGGCCTTGCTGAAGTCCAGAAATACTACATCCACAGCAACACCTGCATCCAATGCTTTTGTGACCTGATCATAAAAGGCAATCAGGTTGGTCTGACATGACCTGTCCCTAATGAAACCATGCTGGTTGCCCTTGAGCATCATCTCTGAGGCTGGCCCATTGCAGATGTGCTCCATGATGATCTTCTCAAAGAGTTTTCCTAGGACTGAGGTAAGACTGATGGGCTTATAGTTGCCCAGGTCCTCCCTCCTCCCTTTTGTAAAGATGGGGACCACGTTGGCTATGTTCTAAAGCATCAAAAGCAACCATCTCCCCAATGCTGTGGGTGATCTTGCTCGCCCTTGCAATGTACCTCGCTTTCTGTCCACCTTTCCCCCACTGTTTGAGGATGGCCTGCATCTGCTCTGGGGGGATGGGGTTTTTGGAGTGTGAAGGAGACTTCCTTTTGGATTTGCTGTCACTGGTGCAAGGCTGAGGAGAAGCAAGGGGGTGGTGCCTCTGGAGATGCATCAGCATCCCTGTGGTGCTCATATGTTTTGTTCCCTTGCCCCAGCTGGTTTGGGCTTGGCAGTGCAGGCAGTTAGCATATATGGGATTATTTGCCAGCTCAAAATGATCCCAGATCACACTACTCACTCACTTCTGTGGTGCGGGTGCATGTGTGGATGCTGCTGCACTTTCCCCCTCCTCAGCAGGCAGAGGCACAGCCAGAGGAGGAGTGAACCTCCACCTCTACATCAACCTCTTCCAAAGTGTCTTCTGGAGAAGAAGACCTGGCTCTAGCGGAAAATTGAAGGGTGTCCAACACAAACTCAACTGATTCCTCCTCCTTCCACAGAATTTCCTTTTCTAGGGCACTGAGATCTAGATCCAGCACCAGCTCTTCCTCTGGCACTGGAAGGCTCAGCATGGGAAGTGAAATGGGGTGGTGTAGGCTGCCATGCTGGTGCTGCTGCTTGTTGTTGTCGTCATGGTGATGGTGGGTTATGGGTGGTGCTTGTGAAAGGGATGCAGACTCAGGCACAGGCAGTGGCACTGGCACTGATCCCATCTCCTTGCTGCATGTAGAAGCCTCATCCCTTCTAGCTGGAGGAAAGAAGCTATGTGTCTTAGTTGTGGGGGAGCAGCAAGGAACTGCTGCTCCCCCACAATTTATACCTCTCCCTCTACCCCCTCTTCCATCCCTCCCTGAAGGCTTGCCAGCTGCCTTTCCACCACGCTTCATGGTGTGCTTCATGTCTTCCTTTTCTATGAATATACAAATGTATTCACGTTCCTATATAAATTCAATAACATAGGTGTGGTGCAAAGAATACATGTATACAAACAAATAGAAATATATCTTTCTCCCTATATAAATTAAAAAATGTATGATCTATGCTGCAAAGCTTTAAATGTATAGAAATAAAACAGAAATGTATTTGCCTTCATATATAAATTAAATTCTATAGTAATCCTATCCAATATAAGTATAAAATTCAAAAGAATAAATCAATGAATATAATAATAAAATAAAAGTGCCTAGAAGAAAAAGCTATTCTGAAATCCCTCTTGCTAGAATAGCCTACCCTAGCAAGTAGGAAATCCTTTAGAAGAAGATCAGTGCTAGCCGTAGTTGTCTAACACTGAGCTACTGGAACACACAGCTCAGTAAGTAACACCAAGGCAGAAAGCAGGGCAGTTCAAACAATGCTGCCTTTCATGCTGTTTTTCCATCCCTCCCCCAGAGCACTGGTATTGGAAGGGACCTCAAGGAGGGATGACAGTCACTGGCCAGCTACACAGTCAATGATGAGAGCAGTCCTTCCCCTCTCTTCCATCTCCCTCTACTTACATTCTGCTTCCCTGCAGGCAAGCCCAACTTCAGCTTTGAAACTGGAAGTGTATCGAAACTTTTGAAACATTTCGACTACCCTCGTTTTGTTTCAAGGTTGTTTTGAAGCCCTCTATTTCATTTAGATTACACTGATTCTAGCTCAAAATGAGTTGAAACAGTGTCGAAATGAAACAGCCAGTGAAATTTTGCACAGCCCTAATGCCCAGATATCAATCTGCATAAAACCCCAAAAGTGAACTCAGCCCTCATTATTAACTGGGAGAGGAGTTACACTTGGCTTCCACTGCAATGTGTTCTATGCCTGTCTAGGCTGAAATAGGCACTGAGCTGCTCAGCCCTGTCAAGACTTCCCAGCATGAGCAGAAACCAAATTCTATATCCTGAGGGAACTTTCAGTGACAAATCTAACAGTTTATGTGCTTCTAGGTTAGGAAGCATCTAAGTAAGGTTTTCAGCAATAATATCTCAGTGTTAGATCTCTGAATTCCAGTGTCCCTTTTTGGATACAGCCTATAAAAGTAACAATGTCTGACCCAAGAGGAAAGAGAATCCAGCACAAACAGCAGGTAGTACATCACTTATTTCAAATGCACTCAGACCACCACTTACTGCTTCTCCCCAAAACAGGTAAGGGTTACTTCCCAATATGAGCAATGGGTTTAAAAACTTTCCATTATGTGCTGCAGAGATATCAGTGGTGGACACTCACTCTTTGGAACTGGAACTCTTCTTCTGGCAGACAAACAGTCTAAATTTGGCAGACTGCAGAATATAGTGTGAGGCTTGTTTGTTCAATAAAGCATTCGATTAACTAACGTGTCAGTATGTCAGTCCTTTGTGAGACAAATAAAATGTGGTTAGAGTGCACTGAGCTATCCATATGGGTAGTTTTGTAATTAATATTTGTTTTTAATTTATTGTAAGATGTCCAGATGCTCTTAATCCTTGAAAATAATGAAATCCTTAAAATAATTAAATGAGTTCTGTAAACTTCCTAGAGGGCCTACCCTTTCTTCTCTGTGATTAGAATCAGGAAAATTATTCAATAGACAGTTTATTCAAGAAAATTTGGCTTTTTTCCCCCTCTACACTGTATTTGCAATTTTCCTTTCTGGACACAATGATCATTTTAGTCACTTTGTGATTAATTGCTTAAATCACATGGTATTCTCTTATTAAATAAATTAACCTTTGTAAAATCACAGGACTGACTGCATAAATCAGTGAAGCCTTAGCTCTTCAAAGAGCAGAAAACAAACACGTTTAGGAATTGTAGGGCATTTAAAAATCAGTCAGTGCCTTGTATAAAAAAAATTAAAATATTACATTTAGCCAAGCACATGGAATTCAGATTTTAAAATAGCTTGGATTCTTCTCAACTGAGAGAATAAGACAAAATTATATTGAGTGGTTGCTGTACAATAGTTTTTATATTCACTATTTTCATGACACTGATAATAGCATTACTTAAATTCATAAGTATCACCTAGTTTATAACTAGATCTTTCCCCCATAGCTGTTTATTCTTACAGTGATTGAGGGTGCTATGGCTTTTTCACTCACCTAGACTCTCCCTGCTTAATAGTGAAGGTTTTCATTCTCATGTACGTGTATTTTGGCATGCCAGAAGTTTTTAGAGCAAATGGGCATCATCATATATGAACTCACTTGTTCACATACCAGTACACAAAAGGAAATGCAGGGCTTCCACAAAGATTCAAAGACATTTGTCTGAATGTTAATGAAAACCTCAGCAGAAAGGAGCACAAATGCGGCAAATCAAATTGTGAATGAGATTCAGTGAACATATTTCTAACAACATTTTACCATTATTTAACAAGCTCTATCTCTCACATACCATCTGTGTTTTTGATTGTCCTGACACATACTTTTCATCAAAGCCTATTTTCATTTTTTGCTGGTAATAAGTTGCAATTCCAAATCTTAAAAATAAAATTTAATGTATCAATACTTAATATTTTGTGAGGGTTCATAAGACAGACTGATTTAATCCAGTGTCTTATAATGGCTGTTTTACAACTACCACTTCTATTCAAATAGTTTAACAAGACTTTTTCCTCCAGCTTTGCCTGGTGACCTAAGGTGCCTTTATATTTTGGTGTAAAACGAGCATCCTTCAGGAGGCTTAAACTTTAAATGGATAGCCTTATTCAGTACTTTCTGAAAGTATGGCCTGCTACAGGAAGGTTGGAGTGGCTCAAGTTGAACACTCAGACAATGAGGAACAAAACAAAATCAGTAATCATGTTTAGGAAATCTTGGCTTTTGTGATTTCTAGTAAATAAAAACTTGTATACTCATATATTTAAGTCATATTTAGAACGAAATAGGTGATATGATCAGTGGAAATTGTTTGTTGTATTGTAGTGGTTCTCAACCTTCTTGCACTCAGGGCACCCCTCACTGGACTTCAGGCACCATTACTGTTGTGAACTGAGTAGTACCCAATATCAAAAACTAATTTATAGATTATAGTGCTTACCTCCTTACACAGGGGCCAGTAGGGGTGTGTCCAGGCAGGGATAAGCCTGAGCCTGGCTTACCTACTTAACTTACCTGCTTGTCCACTGGCACCCTGGTTGAGACTTACTGTTGTATGGTTATAGATTTTTCTTTGTACCAAATAAATCTAAGATGTTTATACTGCTACCATAAGATTTGTCATCCACAAAGCTCAAATGAGAAACTGTATCATTATTTGTTTCATGTAAAATATCTGCATTGGGATAATGCCTTTTGGAAAGGGTCACTTACTGCCCTGGTTCTTGCAGATAGACATCCCAATGAGCCTGGTACCTGTTTTAAGAGACCAAGAATATACTGTAATTTATAGATGGATATCAAGTCATTTTTGCCTCTACATTCATTCTCCTACCTACTTCCATGCTGAATTATTTTAAATTTTATTTTCAGTACAGCCATTAAAAGCTCAAAGATAGGTCTGAAACCTCAAAACTTGAAGATAACAATTATGCATTTCTTTATTGTACAGGTATCAGGTGCACTCGAAGCACTTGAATATTTATTATTATTGAGCAGCAAAATAAAGAACTTAACTGGATATCAGACACTGCTGTGAACTGAAACAAATTGTTAGCAGGTAATGAATTAGAAACCCTAAAATTACTCTCTCAATTCATGATCTCTCTCTTTAGGCATGTCTGCACATTCATTAATGTGATGTAGCTATTGTGCATTAAGTTTACTACTTGCATAACCAAATTCTAAATCAATGCACAGTAACTGGCACTACTGCACAGTATCACTGGCACTTGGGTTTGCACAATAGCTCAGTATTACTGCACAGTAGCATATTAGCATGGTTTTTGCCTGGCATGCTACTAAACAGTGTTATTAGACTACAGCGAGTTAACATCTCATCTAGATGTACTCTGTGAGTATGTCTACATGTGTGCTTTACTGCATTGACTAATTTACTGCACAGCAAAGTGTCACTGTCTATATGTATGCTGCAATAGTCGATTAATTTACTCTGGCATAGGATAGTCCTGTCAGACACTATGCAATGGTGGAGTAAATTACTGCACTTAAATGTACGTGTAGAAGGTGATGCCAGGATTAGTTTACTGCAGCTCAAATTGTGCCAGAGTTTATTCAGTCACATTAATTGCATGTGTAGACGCACCCTGTCTTTTCTTAACTCCCTTAGTGAAGAAAGGAAAGGAAGAAAATTATATCCTTTATATTTCTTTGCTGAAACTAGTAGGACCAAGTGATACAGCTGCCAGAATGAGTCAGCAAACTACTTGAATCTTTGTAAGGGTCCCAGAACTTGACACTGTTATATGGTGCCATAATTGATACAAGTCAGTAGGTTAATTAAAATGAACATTTCAATATTAATGACCATTGACTGCACCCTGCTGGAAAAGCAATGAGATAAAATCAGCACTGGTTTGGTAGGACTAATCCAGAAAGCTTGACAGGTAGGCTGCTGAGCTGATCATATAACAATGCTCCAAAGATGAAGCAAAAATTTGGCACAAAGAAATGGGTAATTTTAGTAAATATTGGTAATTATATAGAGTGCAATCAAGAACATGAAATGATGCTGTATTC